TGCTTTGACAGATGCACGCTAGGTTGGGTAGTGGTGGAAGCTAGATGATTCCTTGTGCGATGTCGAATGTTTCATGGTGATATTGTGGGTGGCATTGTGCTGTGCATGTTGTTTTGTCGTGGTGGTCTCTCGTCTTATCTATTTCTCTTTTATTATTTATTTATTCTGCTTTCTTCTCTTTCTTTAAAAAAATAAATAAAATTGAGCGATGATGATAAGTTCATTGAAACACTTCACAATGTTTCTACACTTAAACTGAGCTCAACAAAAAAAGAAAAAAAAAAAAGAAAAATTAGAATCATCTATAGTTATCAGGTTCATTATTAAGGAAATCAAGAAATAATTTAATAATGCAAGCAAAATATTGAAGGGAACAATTGTATACATAAATGAACATTTAACTAAAAAAATGGAAATATTGCACGTGGAGCAAGGTTGTTGAACAAACAGAAAAACATAGCAACTTGGAAAAGAAACAGAAACATTTGGATCAGAGTAAAGGAAGTGTCTCAGGCTAAAATAATAAAATAACTTAAGGATTTGGAAGGACTTAGATGAGTTCAGGAGGGGACAAATTCGTACAAAAGGAACTAACAAAATATACGGACAAATGGACACATACATTAAAATATGACAACATATGAAGACTCAGAGTTTAAAGTACATAATGTAGATGATGTGATTGATGCAAATTTTTTTCCTGTTATAAAAGATTGCGAACATTATAATGAAGAGTCCGTTCTGTCCAGATCCGACCTTGAAAAACTAGTCCATGCATTTATTACAACCTGGCTGGACTACTGTAACTCACTTTATGTTGGGATTAGTCAGGCTTCACTTTCACGCCTCCAGCTCGTACAAAATGCTGCAGCTCGGCTACTAACAGGAACTCGCAGGTTTGAGCACATTACTCCGGTTCTGTCCTCTCTTCACTGACTTCCTGTGCGTGTCAGAATTGATTTTAAAATTCTCCTGCTGACATTCAAGTGCATTAATGGCCTTGCACCATCATACCTCTCCGACCTTCTTCATCCTTATACTCCTTCTCGGGCTTTGAGATCATCAGACCAGCTGTTTTGGCCGTACCAAAAACCAGGCTGAAGCTCAGAGGAGATCTAGCATTTTCAGTCGTGGGCCCTAAACTCTGGAACAATCTACCCATCAACATTCCACAGGCCACCTCAGTCTCTGCTTTTAAAACTCTCCTAAAAACACATCTGTACTCACTGACATTTAACACAGGGTGATCGGATTTAGAATTAGTTTTTCATTGATGCTGATTCTGTTTATGCTTTTGTTATTATTCCTATTTAACACAAGGTCATCAGATTTGATTTAGTATTTCATTGTTTTAGACAGAGTTTATGCTTTTTGTTATTATTTCCTTTGACTTTTGACACAACGTGATCTGATTTAGGCCCTGTACACACGTAGCCTGGTGTTTGAAAAAACGAATATCCGCGCAAAAAAATATCGCCGTACATACATGTTCGGATAGAGAAAATGATCGTCTACATGAACCCGGTGATGTTCACCACAGAGCGTTGTAAAGAATATGCCCAACCCATAGGAGGCAGTGTAGTGCAAAGGTGAAACGTATATCAGCCAATCACAACCCTTCAAAGCAACCACAACTTCCTGTTAGTATTGAATCATGGCGCCTGGAGGTTCGTTTGTGTGGACAGACCGCGAGGTTGAACTACTATTAAATACCGTGTTGGAGTACAAAGTTAATAAAACTCAGGAAAATGTCGACTGGGAATCCTGTCAGAACAAGTATGTTGATATTTTAGCGCTTTTTTTAGAGCATTACCCAACGGAGTCCTCCGACGAGTTTCCCCATTCACATGCCGACATCACGCGCGGGAATTTAACAACAAAAATGAAAGCAGTCCGAGGTAAATATCGCCATGCTGTTGATACAGGACGCAGGAGTGGACACGGTCGAGTGGTTCTTCTGTACTTCGAACTGTGCGAACAAATCTGGGGTGGCTCTCTAGCTAGTACTACCATATCCTCCGGTATTGAAACAGCTGACCTGGATCATTCTCGGACCCTACCCTCACCATCCACATCTTCTTCCTCCACTACCATGGATGTAGCAGACACAGGGTCTGATAATGAAAGCAGTGTGGGTCCTACTTCAAAGGAGAGGAGAGACCTGCTTGATGTACGTATATTTTTCTGTCCATTCCTCATAAATAAAAGTACTTTTGCTGTAAATGTTCATCTGTTGGATGTACTATAATTCACGGAACAGGTTTGTTGAATTGTGTTGCTATTAAAAATACAGTTAAGGCAATATGTGTGTTAAAAATTATGCAAGAGTTGAGGTGTGTAGTGGAGGCTGGAATGTGATGTTTTTTATATTTTACTGTGTACGGGTTGCTGATTTATTTTTATTATTATTGCAAAAAAGAAATGACACCATCATGCTCTTACTCATCTCATATTATGTTAGGCCTACATATTCATTAGTTTGATGGGGTGGTGGGTACAAAATACACTTTAAGACATATAGCAAACATTGGATACGCTGTTATTACATATTGTTATGTAGAAGTGATGTGAAAAGTACAACATCAACATGATCCAGGTTTACTTTTTTATGTTTAATTGTGATGATTTTCATTTCTCTTTTGAAGGCAAAACTAAAAGGACACAGACACGACCGTCTGAGGAGAAAGCTGCCTGCTGAGACCCAGTGGCTGAATGCTCTTGAGGAAGACCAGCGTGTGAAAAAGAGACTGGTGGAAATCATTGAGACATCAGAACAAAAAGCATCCGAAAACTATTCAAAAATGTCCAATACACTGGAAAGACTTACCACATCGATTGTTGATGGGTTTTCTCTTCTGAAACAGGTCATTCATGCACCTGCACAACCACCACACTACATGCCATATGAGCCAAGAGGTCCGATGTATTCGCACACAATGGCCCACCATTCTGTCCACCAAAACTCAGCAAATTACCCATACCCAAACAACTCCACTTCTGACAGAACACGTCAAAACACAAGACCAGGAAACACTATGAACACTGAAGCTGTGTTCCACACACCTGCTGAAGCCACTGACCAATTTTCATTCAGTCAGGCCCTTTTTAATGACCAGTAGAGTACTGTTTTATACATCGAAACAAGTCTGGTACAGTTAAGTATATACAAGTTCCACTTTTGCACAAGGTTGCACACATGTCAGGTTGTTAATCACAGTGTTATTTACTCTGACAGTGTTTTTTTTCTGTTTGCTATCTTTTTATACATACTGTGAAAAGCTTAAAATGTAGCAATTGCACAATACTTTAACTATTTACATTTTTGTTACGTGAATCTTTATAAGAGTGGTGATCTAGTCCAGTCCTTGGGAGCTACTGCTACTTAGATGTATTTCTCCAAAACACCACTATCAAATACATACTGATGATTGAAATCAGCTATTTCATACTGGTTTGTTGAAGAAAATGCAGCTGAAATGTACCTGTGGTAGCTCCCAAGTTATGGACTTGGGCATCACTGATTTAAAAGTGTACAGTAACTGTGCTGCTTTTCTCCCATGTTTAAAAAGCTTTATCTGTTGTAGATCTGTTATAATCTGATCTGTTCATAAATGAAACACAAAATAAGAACATGTTAAGTGTGTTCGTTTGAATAAATTGACAAACATTTTAAAAGCAAGTTTCTTTATGTGAATTTTTGTGAATATGACATTTATCAGTTACAAATACAGTCATGTTCATCAGAAAGTATTGGCAGCACTATTTAATACACTACAGGTCCAATTTTAAGAGAGAAAAGTAAAATCATTTCACTTAAAAGTCTGTCTAATGAGCTACAAACTATTATATAATGTATCTAAATCCTGGGTGGTAGCTTTTCATGCATTAATAGAATGAAATGCAATAACATTGCACAAAACAATTTAAAAATTCTCTAACATACATGGTGCTAACTATAACGTTTTTTTATGAAAAAACAACGCAGTCTGCTAAATAGTTCACAGGTTTTTGTGTTTATGGATCCAGACACTGAGTGAGGACTCTCCTGACCCGCTTTCCTTCTGCTGCCAAGCTGTCTCCTCTGACCACTGGCTGTGTGTCCGGTTGATTGTTCCTGTCATGTTGAATAGCTTCAGTTATTCTGTTTTCATCCACAGTGTCTTTTGATGCCTCACAAAAATTGTGCAACACAAAACATGCATATATAACAAATGGAAGATCGTTCATATTGATGTCCATGGCTCTCCTCAGGGCTCCAAATCGGGCTTTTAGTCTTCCAAATGCACATTCAATCACCATTCTAGCTCGGCACAACGAAAGTCCAAAGTACTGCTCCTGAACATTGCTTCCTCCGTTAGCATATTCTTTCATCAGGTAAGGTAGAAGTGGGTATGCAGGGTCACCCAGTATGTAAATGGGTATAGCGTCTTCGTTCTCCACAATTTGTCTTGGACAGGGGGGAATCTTCATGTTTTTCAGATTTGTGTTTATTGTGGAGTTAGCAAAAACTCTGGCATCATGCACACTCCCTGGCCATTTCACAACTACATCAATAAAGCTGTACTTGTAATCACAGGTGGCTTGTATGTTAAGAGAAAACCTCCCCTTCCTATTTAGGTACTCTGTAGAATTAGCTGATGGCTGCTTTATCTCCACATGAGTCCCATCCACAGCTCCAAGGCACTGAGGGAGACCATAAGCCTGCTCAAATCCCTCAACAAGTGCACGCACAGCAGTCTCTGTTGTTGGCATTTTTATGTAAGATGGTCCCAAGTACACAGTTATAGCCTTACACACCTCTCTAATTATGTTTGAGACTACTTGTCTTGATAAGCCAAATGCATTGGCCGTTTTACGCAGTCTTCCCTCGTCAGCCAAATAATATAGCGTGCATGCAACTTTTTTGACCACACAGACTGGAGATCGCATTACAGTACTCTTCCCTTGAATGTAAGGAAGGAGTAACTCCGAGAGCGACAGTAATGACGACCGTGACATTCTGAAGTTCTCACGCCATTCCTGTGGGAGAACAATTTCCTTCTCAAAGTTTTCCCACCAGCCAGCAGTGCGTCCAGGTCTGATCCAAAACCGGCGACGGCGACGCTGAATGGCGGTATTGTGCCTCCGTATCGGTAGGGATAGTTGCTGTAAAAGAGCTGAACGCCAAACGCTTTTTCTCCTTTGTAATTCCATCTGTTGGAGCAGTTGTGCTTGTAAAAACAAGCAAGCAAAAATTGCCTGAACCAGCGTTACAATTAGTACTTCCCTAAACGCAGTCATTTTCCCTCCGAATGAATGGGCAAACAAAAACAATTGTCGCACATGTGACGTCAGCGCCGCGCTGCACCATCTGTCGCAGACATAATGCGCATATCTCCGGTTCCGAAAGTCCACACGCAAACCCGAAAGAGGAGATTTCTCAAATCTCCACTTTGGTCGGAGTTTTTGTTATTATTCGTTTATAGTTACATCAACCGGAGTTCACGTGTGGATGAAAGGCCACACCGCATGATAAACTATTCGGTTTTCCTGATATCCGGCTACGTGTGTACAGGGCCTTAGTATCTCATTGTTTCTAATTGTTTTGGGTTTTATATTTTTATTCCATGTGCTGTAAATATATCTTGCTACTTTTTATTTGATGTGATATTTTTGTTAAGCACTTTGGTAACAGTTTCTGTTTTAAATGTGCTCTATAAATAAATATGACTTGACTTGAAGAGTAATTTAATTATATTAATATGACAAATGGAGGTCTTTCTAATATTCACTTTAATAGTAGAAGTATAAACGTAAATATATCCAAAATAACTGATTATTTAAAACAGTTAAACATCTTTTACTTTAATAGCACTTTCAGAGATATGGCTCAATGATGAAAATACAAATGTTCACAAAGAATGGTATGAATTATATCATATGAACAGAAGCTATAAAAGGGGTGGTGGAGTGGCTTTATTTATTAATAATAAAATAAAATGTAAATTAAACAATAAAATGTAAATAATTATTGATTATATTATGGAAATAAGAACAATTGAAATAATAAATAAGAATGCTAAAAACATAATCATCTTCTTCTTTTGGCTTTTCCCTCTTCAGGGGTCGCCACTGCGAGTCATCCTCCTCCACCTCACTCTGTCCACTGCATCTTCTGTCCTCACTCCAACTACCTTCATGTCATCTCTAATTGCATCCATATATCTCCTCTTTGGCCTTCCTCTTTGTCTTTTTCCTGGCAGCTGCATTTCTAACATCCTTCTACCAATATATCCACGGTCCCTCCTCTTGACATGTCTCCACCATCTCAGTCTGGCCTCCCTAACTTTATCTCCCAGTTGTTCAACCTGGACTGTACCTCTGATGATCTCATTCCTAATCTTATCCAGCTATGTCACTCCTAAGGAGAACGTTAGCATCTACATTTCTGCCATTTCCAGTTCTTTCTCCTGTCTTTTTGTCAATGCCACTGTCTCCAGACCATACAATATAGCTGGTCTCACCACTGTCTTGTAATTTTTTCCTTTGATCTTTGCGGACACCTTTTTGTCACAAATCATTCCTGAAACTTTTCTCCATCCTGCCTGGACTCTCCTTTTCACTTCTTTACCACATTCCCCATTTTCCTGGACAGTGGACCCCAAGTACTTGAAGTCTTGCACCTTTGTGACCTCTGCTGTTTGTAGCCTCACTGTTCCACCTCTCATTCACCCACATGTACTCTGTCTTACTACGGCTGACTTTCATTTCTCTTCTTTCAAGTGCATGCCTCCATGTCTCCCAAGTTCTTTTCCACCTGTTCCCTGTTCTCACCACAGATCACAATGTCATCTGCAAACATCGTCCATGGGGATTCTTGCCTGACCTCATCTGTTAGTCAGTCCATCACCAGCGCAAACAAGAAGAGGCTCAGAGCCAATCCTTGATGCAATCCCACCTCCACCTTGAAGCTATCTGTCACTCCTACAGCACATCTCACCACTATCCTGCTGTCCTCATACATGACCTGTACCAGTCTAACATACTTTTCTGCCACTCCAGATTTCCTCATGCAATACCACACCTCCTTCCTTGGCACCCTGTCATATGCTTTTTCTAAATCCACAAAGACACAATGGAGTTCTTTCTGACCCTCTCTGTACTTCTCCATCAGCATTCTCAAAGCAAAGATGGCATCTGTGGTGCTCTTTCTTGGCATGAAACCATACTGCTGCTCACAGATAGTCACCTCTCGTCTAAGTCTTGCTTCCACAACTCTCTCCTAGATCTTCATTGTGTGGCTTATCAACTTAATTCCCCTGTAGTTGCTACAGCTTTGTACGTCACACTTGTTCTTAAAAATGGGCACCAGCACACTTCTTCTCCATTCCTGAGGCATTTTCTCACCCTCATATATATGCCATTGAATATTTGAGTCAAAAACCTCACTGCCATCTCTCCAAGACATTTCCAAACCTCCAATGGTATGTCATCAGGTCCTACTGCCTTCCCCTTCGTCATTCTTTACAGAGCTTTCTGGACTTCACCCTCACTAATCTTTCCCACTTCCTGGTCCACAGTTTCTATGACCTCTTCTTTCTCTTTCATTCTCTTCATTCATTAGCTCCTCAAAGTACTCCTTCCATCTCCCCATCACACTCTCCTCACTTGTTAGAAAATTACCATTCCTATCTTTAATAAGCTTAACCTGCTGCACATCCTTTCCAGCCTGATCCCTCTGTCTTGCCAATCGGTACAAGTCCTTCTCGCCCTCTTTAATTCAATTCAATTCAATTCAATTCAGTTTATTTATATAGTGCCAAATCACAACAAAATTGTCTCAGGGCACTTTACAGGAACATTCACATACATAAAAGCCAATTAGTAAAGTTCTCTATGTAAGGAATCCAGCAGACAAGTTGAATCTTGGC